TTTTAAAATTATTTTATTATTTTTTTGTTTCTTTATGTGGTTTACCGTTTGTCCATTTTTTAAATTTTTTTTTAATTTTTTATTTTTTTTATTTTTTTTTGTTATTTTTTTGCTTAATGTTTGTTACAATTTTCTAAAACGGGAAAAGAAATTTGATTCGGTTCAAAAAAGCATCGATATGTCAATGGTCAATCTCATTACATAGGTTGGTAAAAATGCTTCGCATTTCAAGACTGCGCTAGAGTGAGTATATTTTGCACATATATCGCCAAAAAGAGGGGTATTATACGTTTGTGTATTAATTTTTGGAGATGTAATCTATGTTCGGCGCAATACGATTTTTGCACAATTTAATTAGATGAACCTACCTACCGCGCACTTTTCATTTTACCGCACTACTGCAAGAAATAGTCTAAAATGATTTATGTTTTTCGTTTGTCAGATGTCAACACGCACTATGAGGTTTGAACAAAGACAATTTCTCAGTTTCAGTTTTGATGCGGTAAGAAAATGATATTGAGCAGACTGAATTAACATTTCTTTTAAATTTGTTTTTTGGATACATCACATAGGTAGGTACATATACAAAGTTGTTTTTTTTAAATTTCGATTTCAGATCAGCTCATAATTGCACATAAGGTTTTCTAATTTTGGGAACAATTTTTGGGTATGATGAGACATACTCGCCTCGCTCCGATTTGTTACGGTCCATAGCTCGGCTTCGCCTCGCACTGTTCACTGTTCAACAAAGACAATTTCTCAGTTTCAGTTTTGGTACAGTAAGAAAGTTATATTGAGCAGACTAAATTGACAATTTTTTCAAAGTTGTGGAATATTTTGTATTTTGGAATCGAATCGAAATTTTCAAAAAAAGTCACATTCCATAAGTGATGTTTCCAAATAACAAAATATTCGTCACAATTTTGAAAAAATTGTCAATTTACTCTGCTCAATATAATTTTCATACTGTACCAAAACTGAAACTGAGAAATTGTCTTTGTTGAACAGTGAACAGTGCGAGGCGAAGCCGAGCTATGGACAGTAACAAATCGGAGCGAGGCGAGTATGTCTCATCATACCCAAAAAGTGTTCCCAAAATTAGAAAAACTTATCTTGTCGAATCCCGGTCTGCACATAAGATTTTTTAATTTTGGGAACACTTTTTGGTTTTGATGAGACATATGTACGCTGGGCTCCGGCGGCTCTCGCCTCGCTCTGATTTGTAACGGTGCATAGCTCGGCTGCGTCTCGCACTGTTCGCTGTTCAACAAAGACAATTTCTCAGTTTCAGTTTTGGTATGGTAAGAAAATGCTATTAAGCAGACTGAATTGATATTTTTTTGAATTTGTGAGGAATACTGTTTATGAAAACATCACCTATACAAAGTGACTTTTTTGAAAATTTCTATTCAACTTGTTGCATCCAGATCTGCACATAATTCACATAAGATTTTAAATACTGTTATCACTTTTTGGTTTTGATGAAACATACGCTCGGCTCCGGCGGCTTCGCCGCCTCGCCTCACTTTAATTTGTCGCGGTCCATAGCTCGGCTTCGCCTCGCACTGATCACTGTTCCACAAAGACAATTTCTTAGTTTCAGTTTTGGTAATGTAAGAACATAATATTGAGCAGACTGAATTGACAATTTTTTTGAATTTGGGAAGAATATTTTTGTTTTTTTGAAACATCACCTATATTAAATGCCTTTTTTTGAAAATTTCTATTCAGCTTGTTCAATCCAAATTTGCACATAAGATTTTTTAAATTTTATTATCATTTTTTGGGTTTGATGACAACAACGCTCGGCTCCGGCCGCCTCGCCTCGCTCTGATTTATAACGGTCCATAGCTCGGCTTCGCCTCGCACTGTTCACTGTTCTACAAAGACAATTATTCAGTTTCAGTGTTGGTGTGGTAAGAAAATGATATTGATCAGACTGATTGGACATTTTTTTTTGAATTTATGAGGAATATTTTTGTTTTTTGGAAACATCGCTATGCAAAGTTTTTGGAAAATTTCGATTCAACTTGTTGACTCCAGTTCCTAACATAAATGCACATAAAACACAAATGGTAATACTTATTGGTTTTGAGGAGATCCGTTCGGCCTCGGAATTGGTGTGAAAAAAAGTGTAATGTGTTATTGGGCATTGGTAAATGTCGTTTGCCACTGTGGACGTAGAGAGACGAGTCTAAGGGAGGGCCAGAGTTTAGCCGAACTCGCCTTCGGCTCGCTCGGCATTGGTGTACAAGACGCGTGTGTTAAGAATCGAAAGTCTTTGGTTATTTTACTTGGTTGGGGAAACGGTTAAAAAGAATTTTTGTTTGAATTTGTATTTCGAAAAAAGTTAAAAAAAATTGCTTAAATTTACAAATAACCTAATGTCCACCGGTGCTTGGTGTCACATTCGATTTAGCTTCATTTATAATTTTTGTTTGAATTTGTCTTTCAAAAAAGTTAAACAAATTTTTTTTAAATCTACAAATAACCTAACGTCCCAAGCTGTTTGGTGCCACACTCTTCATATTCAGTTTTTTTTAAAATTTGTATTTTAAAGAAGTATATATAAAATATGTAGGTATAAAAAAGCCTCGCACTGTTCAGTGTTCAACAACGACAATTTCTCAGTTTCAGTTATGGCGTGGTAAGAACATGATACTAAGCAGACTGATTTGATAATTTTTTTGAATTTGTGAGTAATATTTTTGTTTTTTTTTGGAAACAACACCTATACAAAGTGATTTTTCTACTCAACCTGTTGAATACAAATCTGCACATAATTGTACATATGATTTTTAGTTTCGATAACACTTTTTGGTTTTGAGGATACATCCACTCGGCTCCGGCGGCTTCGCCGCCTCGCCTCACTCTGATTCGTAACGGTCCGTAGCTCGGCTTCGCCTCGCACTGTTTTCTGTTCAACAAAGATAATTTCACAGTTTCAGTTTTGGTGTGGTAAGAAAATGCTATTAAGCAGACTGAATTGATATTTTTTTGAATTTGTGAGGAATATTGTTTATGAAAACATCACCTATACAAAGTGATTTTTTTGAAAATTTCTATTCAACTTGTTGAATCCAGATCTGCACAGATTTGAAATGTTGTTGTCAATTTTTAGTTTTGATGAGACATACGCTCGCCTCGCCTCGCTCTGATTTGTAACGATCCATAGCTCGGCTTCGCCTCGCGCTGTTCACTGTTCCACAAAGACAATTTTTCAGTTTCAGTTTTGGTAATATAAGAGACTGATATTGAGCAGACTGAATTGACAATTTTTTTGGACACATCACCTATATAAAGTGCCTTTTTTTGAAAATTTCTATTCAACTTGTTCAATCCAAATCTACACATAAGATTTTTTAATTTTGTTATCACTTATTGGGTTTGATGAGAGATACGCTCGGCTCCGGCGGCTTTGCCGCCTCGCCTCGCTCTGATTTGTGACGGTCCATAGCTCGGCTTCGCCTCGCACTGTTCACTGTTCTACAAAGACAATTTCTCAGTTTTGGTAATTTTCAAAAAATTTCGTCCGCAGGTATAACAATAATAATAATAATTATCGTATATCGAATCCCGATCGCCTTCCGATCGATCGCCTCCAATAGAGAACTAAATATGCTATAATTTTCCCATTGTAAGTACATACCTACGAATTACCGTTTAAAAATTATAAAAGAAACTTGGCAAACACGCGATATAATCGTTTTTTTAGAAAAAAATTTCCAGAACCTTTATTTTTCAATCGATTCGGACGGGGAGCGGTGCATACGATAGCTAATAATTCGAGCTAAATATTCCCCATTGAACGTACCCGTCTGGCAAGTCTCTTAAAAAAATTATAACCGAAAAACTCACGCGTCTATGTCACCCTTAACTTAAAAAGCATTCAGATGACTTCCAATTTCAAAATATACCCAAAACGCAACCGGCCACGTATACATTAAGTCTTCCGCAATAACTTTTCCATTGTAACATTATAACTATTCTCGTTCCTTTTAATTAAAATAATTAATACAAAAAAATGTGTGACAATTAAGAAAAAAAACTGCGCGCGCTCGGATTCGAACGCCGATCGTCCAATTCAAACTCCAACCCGTTAACCATTGCGCCACGTCGACTTTCGTTTACAATTCTTTTAAACCACTATAAGTACGTCGAGAATACGTAAATTAACAAATTATTTAAACGCACATTATTTACTCCACACTTATTCGAAGCACTTATAAAATCAGATTTCGAACACTTACCGATCATTTATAGTAGATAATGTATTAAGGGATTTTTGAGACCTCTACCGAAATTCTCCGTCCAAAATTAAGCTCGCAATTAATTAAAAAGCGGTTAGCGCGCGTTCGGCAATCTTCGGCGCTTAATGTTGGCGAAAAACAAAACGAAGCGGTCACGTGACTTTTGCAGACCTTCGGGAGAAAATTTACCACGGCGCCGTCGTCCGAGTTACCTCCTCGAGGTAAACGGAAAAAGAAAGAGAAAACTTGGCCGCAGGTATCGAACCCGATTTCGACGCCGTATCTCTTCGCCGGAACGCGCTATTCAAAATCTCCGGTTTTTCACCTCTCACCCCCCTCCGGGGGGTGGTAGGGCGACCCGCG